CAAGGGACAACTGCTTGAGGCCGGTCACGCACGGCCTTTTTATGAAAGGTATTTTGAGAATTAGCTCCGTTCTTAAAGGCCCAGTGGGCACCCTTACCCAAGGAGACGGATATCCGTGAGTTAGGGGGAGTGTGACATTTTTAGGGTCGACCTTTTCTAACCCTTCCTTCCTTGTGAGAAGGCAGCATCGCTGCAGATGCTGGTTGTCCGAGGGAAACACCTTACTGCTGTCACACCCCTCTGCAGTCAGCAGTACGACTTCGCCCTCAGACCTTGGGTAGCTGCTTTTAGTCTCATCGTTCTCCAATCGACCAGCCTGGCATGGTAGGACCTGCAGGAACATATGTTCCAGCCAGTATAGCTCGGTCGGGTCATCACGATAGGCAAGCCCGACCACCACGTCAAGGTAGCAGCTTCGGTCGGGAATACGTGTAGTGTTGTTCGGATATAAGAGTAAAACACATATAAACCAGTAGTTCATATTTTAAAGCACGGAACAATACATAACCAAGTATTACCTTAGGATGTGAGTGTATTATACCGACGACAACATATGTTAAATTGCTAAACCTCGAACTACTCTGTAGTGTGTCAATTTACTGCGTGTTCTAAAGCTCGGTAATCAGCTTGTCTAGACAATCGTTACTAACTAGCGTCTGACGGTTTATAAATCAGGTGAACAAAAAGTGTTGAGTAGGTTTATTTGAGACACATCACAAAGCGAAGCGGAAAAACAGAGAATAAAACGAAAAAAGCAACGTGAATTGGAGAAGGCTGTTGAGCCAAATCCAAGGATTACAATGCGAACGAATGGGCGAAGGAAGTGGATGGACAGGCAAAGCACTTTGGAGAAGGCTAATGAGCCAACTCCAAGAGATAGAGCATGACTAAGAATATATAGTCAGACAAAAATAAGGCAGACATGTGATCAACGAGATAGGCATGCGCACACATGAATAAAATCGACGAATGGTTAACAAGGTCAAATGACAAGTGGAACACGTCATGTGAGCTCATCATACAAACCAGACAATAATAAGAACGAATGGTACATATAAGTTATTGTTTTACAAATGGCTTGGTTAAATAAATTAATCGAAAGGACTTAACCAAATTAAATATGAGCGAACTGGAATATATGTGGAGGCACTACAACTCCATTAAGCGGAAATTAACGACAGGAGAACCAAAGAGTATGAAACAATATAACTTTTCATGGAGGTCTAAATATGAGGAATGTGCTTCGAAGGAACCATATGATATTTAAAGGTTACTAAGGATATGACTCGAGATTTCGAGGAACGAAATGGATGCAATTACGACTGATAAAAGTCAATATCAACAAACATTTTTAGTCAAAAATTACAGGTACTATGATGACCCTGGACAAGGAATTTGAATCTACTGATATGACCCATATCAACAGTTACTCACTTCATAAGCTAACGGGATGCCTATATCTACAATTTCCTCCAATTTCAACTACGATTGTACAATAAGGTATGGAAGGATAAGTCAGTCAGTCACAACGCAGAACTTTTTATGTAAGTACATCAGTTCATGTTGCCATGCCGCATTCGCACAGAGACGCAACTGTCAGTTCAAATCCCATAGTGGTAGAGATAGTAGAAGTACTAGCGGTAATGGAGGTTCGAAGACATTATTCAAAAAGTATAGTTCAGTGAGATAACTTTAGAAAGAGAAAGACAGAGATTATGAGGAATACCTGTAACACGGAATGATAGACACTGACAAGAGACCGAAATATTCTAGTTGACAATATGTATAACTCTCCTTCTATTATACAGAAGAAATTTTTTGATAACGTGTTGAAATATTTACATCCAATGAGTACCGATTACTTTTATAGACTATATTTTGCAACCACAGAGCAAACTGTTATACTCACAGTTTGATTAGAAAGCTAGAATACCACCTGGGGTAACTGTTGCAGGTTTGCAAAGGTCAAGCAAGTATTCATTACTTGTGGAGGAATTCTATTGGCTTCCAACATCTATGGGGTTATAAAACTACCAAGATAAGCGAAATGGTCAGTCCAGCAGACTACTTCATGCACTGCACTCAGACTAAGCACTGACCAACACTAAAACAATATTTCATGTTTAGAGGTAGAAAAACTCATTTCAAATATTTCTGCTTTGTTATTCAAAGCGTTTACATAATTTTGCATGTTTTCATCGTTTACACCAAACGAAGCTACACCATTTTCGTATTATAAGTCGATATCTGAATTTACTAATAAGTTAGGTATTACCTATAACAGCAAGTCTAAAACAAGACTACTCAAAAATACTGAAACCAGAAAGTGATGATAAAAATCACTGGATTTTGATCCCAATTCATCATTTTCACAACTTCTAACAAACCCATGTTTATAACTAGCGAATATTTGGTCAGAACAACTATTTCAGTTCATTCTTTTTCTTTCAAACACTAAGCCACCATGAACTAATTACGACAAATTACCCTTGTGCATTTAAAGCTAATCATAAACTTTTCAACTTGCTGAAAGTGGCAGGAACGCTATTGATCTCCCGTAGAGACTATTTTCAAAAAGTAGATACCTGGAAGGTTGTTGGGCTGCTTAATACAACAATATACATATCATTGCTATCTTCTAATTCAAGAAGATACCAAACTTCCATCTTCGTGACAGATATTTTCCTACTAACAACTGATGATTTTAGTCTTGTTTCTTTAATGATTCTAAACAATTGTCTTGTATTACTTATAACCTCTGCCTTTATCTCCTTTGCTCATTTTCATTTTCATCTATTTTACGATGACATATAAGATACAGGTTCCAAGGTGTCCCAATGTAGCTGTATCTAACCAAATAGAAACCCGTAAAGATAGACATTTACTAGATTTTCACTTTACGTCAGTGAGGATACATTCGCAGGAACAAATAATCCTAATTTTTACAGCTAAAGTTTGACCAGAAAACGTCAACTTCAGAACGTCTGCTTCTCATTCAATCAATCTTTTTGAGTGCTCAGACATGATTTATTGCGTCATTATTTGAGCGTCAATGCAAACAGCCATAAGCGCATATCAATTTTCTAGAAAGGGAAAGGAGTCAGTCAGTTACAACGTAGAACTTCGTACGTAAGTACATCAGTTCATGTTGCCATACCAAATTAGCATAGAGACGCAATTGTCAATTCAAAATCCCATAGTGGTTGAGATAGTAGAAGTAGTAGCATTAATGGAGATTAGGATTTGAAGATAATATTCAAGAAGCATAATTCAGTGAGATAAGTTTAGGAAGACAAAGGTAGAGGTGTTGATGAATTCAGAAGGTTAGGATGTGAGAGAACACAAGGAGTGGATGCACCTGCGCCATTGCAACCGATTCTGAGTCATGTTATTCAAGGTCTCTAACCATCGATTACTAACAGCTCGAGGACCCCGACCAGGTAGTCGACACCTACCTACATGACTCAGTCCATTTGTTAGTGACTTCATGGATTTCTGCCATGTCTTGGTCTGGCCGTCCCTTAAGTTTCTCTTAACTTACTACGACACCAAAAAACATAGCTCGTCAAAGCAGTCGGTGGTTGAGCATTCATAACATATGTCCCAACCACCTCAACTGATGAAGTTGTACTACTTCAGTTATTGATCTGCCATCCTTGCCTAGTACTCGCTTCCTAATGGCAGCATTGTTTACTCGGGTGTCCCAGGATACACGAGCAATGCTTCTAAGACATATGTGGTCGAATACTAGTAACCTACGGATATCTTCTACTCTGATTGGCCATGTTTCGCATCCGTAAAGGAGGACGGAGCGAACTTCTGCACAGTACACTCGACCTTTAGTCAGCAAACGGATATCTCGCCTACTCCATAAATGACGCAAGTTCGTAAATGCCAATCGGGATTTCTGCATCCGGGAAAGGATACAGTATTTGAATTGCAAACTGCGGTGCACTTGAGGTGGATGATAAAACAAAAGAACTGAAATACTATGACAGCTAACTGAATAATGTCAATAAAAATACTACTATGAAATGGTCATTATCAGCATAAATATAAGTCAGTTAGAGTTAATATATCGAATTAGCAAAGTGACAACGATTGAAAATAATAATAGCATAGATGATATTGAGAATGACCAAACGCTGAACGATATAATTTGCAAAAGAGGTGAATTCGAGTAATAAGATGCATGGAGTAGTACTGAAGCTCAACATAAAAAGAAAGATACAAAGCGAATAGAACAGTACTACTGAGAATAATTCTGATCCATAATGCTCAAAAACACCCAACTACTGGTCACGAAGACCGAGAAGTTTAGGCTTATCATCACTGTCCAGTACAGGAATTAATGACTCTATACGATGAGACCACTTATTGGATTGATTATTTCTACCAACTAACTTAGGCCCCAGACAAAATTATCTAGAGGTAGGTGTTTGTTGAACACTTTTAACAAAAATCACAACCATATTAGTAGACATACATTCACAATCTCCGAATGAATTGTGACATTTATCCATTACGGTACATTTATCCGAGGATTTCTCATCCCCACTTTGAGAGGTTCAAAAAACCTTTTCCTGACTAGGTAAAAGGGCCTCAAAATACTTCAGAATGCGCAGAAAGGAATGTATGGATCATTTTGTGTATGTTTAAACATAACTGGAGACCTATTCGGTTGTACATGTAGTAAATGAAAGCCACGAAGGTCTAATACACACGAAGTTAGAACACTACGTTTAAATACTATAAGTCGGACGATTCGATCATGAAAAGATTGAAATTTTTCATCAAAAGTGTTTAGGACATCGATAAAATAGATTTGCTCGAAATAAATATTAAATTAACATCAATTCCCAACCAACCACGTCCTAAAAAACGATACACAGGTCAAAAGTAAGACTAGAAAATTTATAGACGAAAACGACTCAACGGTTTAAATTACTGTCATTATTAACAGAACGCGCTAAAAACGAAGACAAAAGAAGACAACACACTTGTGTAACGACTACGTTTATGATAACGCTTTTTTCAAGGTCAGCATCCAATATCCAATATCTTCGGCTTTTGGAACTAAACGGTGAAACTGCATTTCTTTCTTGACGATTGCCTTATGTTGAAGGTCGAGCCTCTTCTTGAGAATTTTAAATGATGGCTCATGCTTTTGCCGAAGAAGACGACAATTGGCAGAGGGTAGGATAGGTGTACGTAGACTCGTAGAAGTATCACACAGGGTAATACTTGAGCTAGTGGCTAGGGAGGTTGCTTGGCACTGAAAAAATGTAGAGCGCGCTGCTTTCATACAAGAAGAATCGCGTGCTTTGGCGGTAGCCATAGCGGGCTGGTCGAGCACTGGTGAAGTGAATGAATTTATTTGGATCCGTGACAGAGCATCAGTAACATAGTTTGACTCGCTTTTAGTATGACGATAGTCTTTCAAGAAATGGAAGATATACTCGAAATGTCTGGATCTCCAGGAGGAGGATTTTGAACCTCCTACAGCATTAGGCCCCTAACAGTTCTGGACAGAGAGCACTATATCTTGTCTTAGTAGAAGCGAGCTGTCGCTAGAAAAATGCGGCAGGCTCCTAACTTGCGGAAATCTCTTGTCATATTGCAGATCCAAAAGCGAAATCCAATGCTTAAAGCGCTAAGCTGAGCGCATTTAATAGGTTGGGATGAGCGATAAGTGTGGCCTGTGCTAAAGAGGTCTTGATATCTGTATATGCAGTAGGCGCGGTATCTTATAGCTCTAGTTAATGTGGATTACCTCGAAATAAGTCGGTTACTGTTGTTAATCGTTAAACTTAGCGTGAGATGAAACGGGGTTAGGAATGAGTCTACCATGTTCAATTCCCTGGGTGCGGGCGGTAAAGTGTACTCCCCATAAGGAAGGAAACCCCCTTGTTTAATGCTGTGACTGAGGAATTTCAATTCCGATTTGCAAAGGTTTCACTTGTCTGCGTTTACTATTATTCCGTTAAGATAACAGTGTTATGTGCCGCAAATATACACCAACCTTTGATGATGCAATTAGCAGTTTATCGGTATAGACGTGAAAAGTGCTTTGGCTCCTGTGATGCTATAGATAAACCTTTGGAAAGTTTGGGTAGCATTCTGTAAACTAAATGGCAGAACAAAAGGAGTTGTAACAGCGGTTTTGTCGACATCTTCCAGAGCGACAGTGATCTGATAATATGCTCGTACCATATCGAAACTAAAAAAGATGATAGCGCCCTTGAGTGATGCCGTGAACTCGTGTTTGTGGGGGAAAGGGATGAAATACGTCCTCAAACAAATAAAATACACAAGTAATTCGGTGCGCATCTGCTTGGATTTTGAGATTCGTAAATGTAATATTCGACGAAGTATCGGCTAACTGAAGCTTACGTAAATCGACTGGCATTTCATAGTCCTGTAGGAAATCGATGCGCAGTATGGTAGCCGCGAAGATAAACGTCCACAGATACCCTATTCGGTTGCTCAACTTGATCGTTGGCTTCTGTGTACCGTAGGTAGGATTGACAACCATTCGCAGCGCGTAGTGGAAGTGTAGTAACCTAAGACTTGCTGCTGCCAGTCGGAACAACGGAAACTTGAGCACCTGTGTCCACTAGGTACCTAACGTTAGAGCGGTAATCATGCACATAAAACAAATGACCAACATGAGGTTAACGACAAGTGAGTACCGCTACATTTAATCGCTTGCATAGGGGTTTCTCACTTAGTGTGAGCATAGACCTCGACAACGATGGGCATCAAGTTCGAAGGCTCAAAGGTACGAACAAAACCCAACGTTTGATTCTGCGGTTCGAAAAATGTTTGTTGGAGGTACAGCCCAACGTGAACGCGAACGGGCCCGAGTCTAGCGGGGTGCTGGGACACCAAAACGTAACCAACGAATAAGCGTAGGTACAGAGCATACGCAGAAGATGACGGCCGAAGAGAGGAAAAGCAGCGTGACCGTGGTGAAAGGCCAGTATATATATACAAAAAGAACAAAGGTCATTGCATGAAACGAAAGTACTTACGAACAAATATTCCATAATAAGTACACTGACACAATTAATCGCACTAATGAATGTTGCAATTTAACCCATAATGTAAAGTAAAATCGCTACAACATACTGAACACAAGGAAAACAAGAGCAATTTTTACCTATTCTAATGGATACAATTATGACTCCAAAGCCCTAACTCCTGAAATTTTATCGTAGTATCTGAGAGTTGAGTTTTTCCCAACTATGGGTTTATTTTACTCGGCACAATATTAAACATGAAGGAATTCCATATCGAGACTTATACTCTGTTCTCTCTCTGTTTCAGTTGCTTAAGAAGTCTGTGACCTTATTTTGAGTCCCAATACGTCACAACCAACAACCATTTCAGGACTTTAAGTGATGAGACGCCGATATTTATCGGACGGCCAAGGATTTCAAAGGTTTATTAAGAGGAAACATTAGGTGACAGGTCACCAGTTTCTGCGTTATATCCAAGTCTTAACTAGCGAAAACACCGCGCGCGAAATAGCGCTAAGACATGGATGGATACAATTTCTACAATGCTGTACCCAACACTGGATGCACAAGAACCAGACACTCCATTTCATTTAGCACAGATTGCTGATAGAATTGAGATAGGACACCAATTGAGGCATATACGATGCATGATAGAAAAAAAGATGAACCATCATACAACCCAGTCCAGTATTAAAATTCTGACGAGGACTGTTGAGTAGATGAAGAGAGATCATAGGAAACGGAATAGGTCACTGCAACGAACATGGTCCAGATCACGAAGCAGGTCACAAATACTCAAGTAATTTGACAGTACCACTGAAAGTATGACTCTAAATCAACCAGGTACAATCAGCCTCGTTCTCTTTATTCCTCTTTCTCAGCATCTTGTTCCAATCCACATATATTAGTATGGATATTTTCCAGAGACTTTTTTACTTTACCCAGGAGCCTGTAAATTTATTATCTGAAGGATATAAACCAAATATTGGCACATTTGCCTCATCAATTCTTTTTATATGCAGACCTGACTCTATCATGCAGTTTCGCAGTCATTAGCAGTTCGTCGTAATGCAACCGATGTAATTCGTGCCAATTATTCGCATTGCACATTGCAGAGTCTGGAAAGCCATTTTATGTGAAAAATTTTAACTATCTATATGAAGTCAGTGTATCTTGTGAAATATTTCAGTAACTGAACAACGTTTTACAAAAAGTATGTTAGCAATCTTAAGATTTTGATCTTGCCTGTAAATTGGCATGTCTCTTGTAACATGTTGTTATTTGAGAATAAATTGTTATAATTATTATATTCCAAAGATAGCTTTGACCACAAATTTAAGACTAATGGAGTTTATATGCTTCCCATTTTGTTCAAAGGCTTGTGAACTATCCACTTAGTTCTCTAGTTAGATTTCATACCACATGAACAGTACGTGAGCGTTGTTATGAAAAAGCTGGATGCCAATACAATGAATATGCATCACAGCAAGCTTGTTTCATCAGTCCAGACTTTAGAATTTCTTGGACACACAATGAGCACCATAGGAGATACAGATCATTACAACGCAGCCCATTACTAAAAACTTAACACGGGCCGAAAGTTTCTCAGACTTAATGTTGTTATTTTAGAATAAATTATTATTAATAGACTTTTATCCCTGATTCACACCCGGTTGTTCACAACTGATTCAGCCGTTGAAAGACTACCTAGGAAGAAAACCAAAAGATTCTTAATTGACTCCTAAGGTTATTGAAGTTACTAAAGGAAAGCTAAATAATAAGCAATTTCATGTCTCTGTGTCGACGTATATGAACACTCGGTTTAATGGTAGATGCTTCAAACGAAGCCGTAGGGAGCGTCATTTATCAGCTAGTCAAAGGACATTCCTACCCATATTCACTTAACTTTGATATTTATATTCTGTTGCCGGCGAATAGCACTAATGTTATAACCCATCTTAAATAAACAATTTTAAAGTAGACAGCAAGTGGGTTCATGATCAATTTTAGGTTCCTTACTATTAAATACATGCTAACATCAAGCAGATCTTTTGGTTGACCTTCAAGACTCTAAAATTTTCATCAAACTTAAGAAACCTACTTGTAATTGTATTTCTACAGTGGCCGTCCCAATTGGTTCCAATAGAGGCACTCCTGTACGCTTTCCCCAGTTCCGGGTCCCAACCAATTCAAAAAGGACAAAATTCTAGGAGAAAACGTTTGGATATAGTGCTTCTTCCAGGGTAAAGTTACTCCGCAGAGTATCAGACACAATAACAATAAGTGACGCTAAGTCCAGCGGCCACTGCGTCCGTCCAAAAATGTGGCGGTAGCCATATTATATCAAATTTAAACAACATATGTACAGTTCAGAAGCAAACACAAAAACTTCAATATAAGTACAAAATATAGAAAGAATAACAATATACAATGATAAAATCTCAAATTGGAATCAAATAAAATACCAAAAATGTCAAAGGAAAAAGTCCGTCATGTCATAGCAGAAATATGTAAACATGGAGGGATTTTCCAAAAAACAAAACATTCAAAAAGGATTCTACACCGGCCCGCAAAATCCCTCCATGCAAGAAGAGCAAGCGTTAATGACACTTTATTTAGGGTTCCCAGTTATCCCCTAATCCACACCGGAATAACGTGTAGGACTTACAGCAGTACGCCTACCCGCCATCCAACATGGATATGACCTATCGTGTTAACTAGGTACCTATACTTTCCCGTCAGGCCCTTGATTCCCCTATCTATCGTGGCATGACCTAACGGTAGTATAAACCTTACCCAATTAACCCACACGAACATGAACAACACGTCGTAAAACTGGTCATATCCTATCCAAGGACTACATTCTCTTTCATGGGGACGAGTCGCCAATCCACCACCACTTGCTCCGATCAGCAGGTACCATGAATTCCGTGATGCTAACTTATCAACAGAAATTCTTGACCCATAAATAATATGCAAGGGTGGGATCTCCAATTT